TTATTCGAAACATCAATTTTAAAGATTGTGCTGGTCGCTATTTTTCATGCAGCTAAATAGGCAATGAATCTGTATACATTCAAAAAGATTACAACATCCATATGTATCATAAAAGTACTCTATATGATAGTTTGAAAAACAAACTGAAAGTTCAAATCGTTCCTTTTACCTTTGTGCACAAAGTTTCAGGATAAGAAAGCGCAAAAGTTTCAGCTAGTGCTTGTTCCATAATGCACAAGTTGCTTTCATGTGTCATCAGATTCAAGCGAATGAATTAATCTGTATTTCAGTTGTATATTATTTAACACATGTGCTTGGTGATATATGGAATATTAGCAATAGTCTATTTGTGATGAATTTGTTGACACTTTAAACAGATGCAACCTAGTGATTTTAATACTTTTTATTTGGCTATAAGTCTCTTAAATAATGTATCATTAGACTAATTTCCAATCTGAGGCTTGGGACAGATTTTAGATTTTCTTTTTAGTAGTGTTGAATTTAAACTTTAGTTGGAACCAATACAGTTAAATTTAATACATTTACATTTCCGTACTTTAATGATGTCTGTCGTCATGCAGTGTTATACTGTGAATACTGTCAAAAGCTGAAAAGAATAATTTAAATATTCACATGTCCTATTTAACTACAGAAATTGCTTATAGTTAAAAAAAGGGTTTTATTTGGTAGACTTTTTGAAAATATTAATAAGCAGTTCTGTTTTTTTTAAGAAATAGTATTTTTTATTTATAGCCCAAAAAAAATCTAAATAATTCAGTAATTAAAAACATTCTCACCATACAAAAAATGGGAACATTTAAAATACAAATATAAATTAACATCTGTATATATTATAAAGATGTACATGTAATGCACAAATATCATGTCACTTTCTTTACAAATGTATTAAACTTCCAGCATCTGCAGGCACTTAACAATTCAACTCAAAACATTCGTATCTGACGGATGTTTCACAACATCACAATGATCCGAAATGAACTACAGATGAAAAGCGGATTGCTGAGTGGCAAACTAATGTTGTGAGACCACTTGCCATCAGTTTACATTCACACAAACTCCACTAATGTCGCACAGGCAGCTCCCTGTGAAAAAGTCAGCACTTGCTGGGTTCCTGTTGGCCCAGCTCTAGTATCAAAAGGGCTGGCCACATACACATAGAGCCTCATTTGTGAAGAGGCAATGTGACTCCAAATATGTCATCTTCATTGTCAAACTCATTTAGGAGATCTTGTTTCAAACACAACAACAAATACAGGGGATTTCCTCAACAATCTGGCCCAGTCTGGTCAGTGCTGATGAGATTTTTAGTGGTAGGGTCTAACTCATGGCAGGAAGAGACCAAGTCGTTCCTACTAGGCAATATATTGTGGAGCCCAGACAATGTCCAGGTGGTTGAAGTTAGACCCTGGCAGTGGGAGTATATGTAAAAGTTATTTCTGCATGTGTTTGTATTTTGCGCATTTCTTTACTGTGTGCGCTCATTATAGTTGATTTGGTTAAGAGCGTCTGCAGTGTGTCGAGGTGTTGCATAGCAAGAGATTACTGCTTAATGAGTCTGCTTAAAATACACACCCACACACATACAAACACACACCGGGAAGATGACAAAACCTATGTGGTACAAGCAACATGCAGAAACACACAGGAAATTAGCCATCATTTAAATGCATTAATTTTTTGCATTTGCATTAAATGCAAAATTAATTGCATTTATTTTGGATCTTATAATAACAATAATTCCCCAAAAAGAACAAAAAATGTTGGTCTGTTCTGCCTGGGTCTGTGTATGATTAACTGTTTAAAAAAATAATAATTTAAGGACACAACCAGTGTTGGGAAGGTTACTTTGGAAATGTAATAGGTTACAGATTACAAGTTACCCTACTTAAAATGTAATAAGTAGTGTAACTTTTTAATTACTTTATTAAAGTAATGTAACTGATTACATTTGATTACTTTTTGATTACTTTTCTAAATTTCTAATGTTTTCAACTGTTAATCATTTTCAAACATGTAAACCAGGCAGGGTTAAACTTTCATATGTGCTCAACACTGATAACTGTCAGACTTTCGAAATCCTTCATCACTTGAATTAAGATTATAATATTTTTATTTTAAAGGAGACATTGGATGCAAAATAACGTAATTCCGTTACATGTAACTAGTTACTCCCCAACACTGGACACAACACATGTAAATGTCTTCAGCACGCAAAATTTGCATCTGATGGCATGTTAATTGAACTATCCTGATATGTCACACTTCTCATAAAAGCGTTTTTCTCAACAGGAATGTTGCGTTAAAGCATTGTCAGTTTTGATTGTGCATACAATGTTTTTTTGTGTGTGTGTGTGATTAAATCACACAGAGCTTTTCCATCACCATGTCACAATGACAGTGATCAAACGCCTGTCGACAAGTAGATTTCTCCAATAAAAAAGAAAAACAAATGTCAAAACATAATATATAGCTTTAAATCATGTGGCTGATGAAAGCAATTGACAGCATTTTGTTTATTCGCTTCTCCAAGACCCCCTGGAATTCTTCACTAAGTAGGCTAACACTTGCTTAACACTCCCATACACAGTGTCAGAATCATCAGTTTGTAAGCTAGTTGTAGTAATGCTCTCTTATCAAATCCCTATTGAGCTTTGACTCCTGTCATTAGGTTGCATTAGCTGAAGTGTCATAGAGCGCTCAAGGGACAGCCCTGTTCCTTCTTCTGCTCTGTATGCAGACAGAGGCCGCTGTCGATCCATTCACCCCCTCCTTACTTTTTTTAATGAAGAAAATCGATTGTCCTGTCCTTTTCAAAAAGCATATTATACTTTATTAAGTAAGTTCTTGAGTAGGCACAATAACACAAGAGGAGCAGTTTAATATAGGAAAGGAAAAGGAGGTGGGGGTGGATAGTGAACTAGTGATTTGAATTGACTGGTACAGGAACGCAGCAAATGCCTGGGAGCTATAAAAGCAGATTATTCGGTTTCTGATGGCGGCCTGGAATGGTAATGTCTCACCGCTTCCCCTGCAAGTTTTAATGTAATTGTGCACCATATCAGGTATTAAAAAAAATGATTGTCTTCCCACTCTATTCCTTTTTTTTCTTCTATGTTGGTTAAGATGTTTCTTAGTATTCCATCCTGATAGCAAGACCTGTTCCTTTATTCTCAGAAACTGAGAGACAGTGAAAGGAAAATGACAATGGGAAAGTGTTTAGTTCAGTAAATCAATAGCTCTCTAAATAAGTTCTGTAGCCTAATATGCTATGCAAATTTTAAATCGAGTTAACTTGTCCACAGTATATTAGACAAAAACAGGGATCAAATCGTTTAGATTTGAACTGACTTGAATTGTGAACTGATTTGACTGAATCATTGAAAATACCCGACTCAAAAGAAGAATTAATCACAAATATGTTATTACAATGGCTTGTGGGCATGTTTATTCACCAGCTTTACACATGAGTAATATCTAGCAGATGAAACATTTTAGAGCACAGCATAAATAAAACATATATTCATGAGGGATGTGAATCGTAAGTTTTTATAATTCTGGTTCTGATTCTTCTTAATGATTCTTGTTTCATTTAATGATCTTTTTAGTACTTTTAAGGAAGAATATTTGGAAATAAAGAAAAGTTAATTATATTGCATTTACTTCCCTCAGCAGTCTAATAATGAGATCATGTAAGATTTCAACAGAACAAATATATATAATATAACTGTGTTTGCACAGACTTTTTGATGACTTTCCATGGACTTATTAGAGGTGGCAAAAATGAATTCCAATAAATGTCTTAATTCCAATAACATATATATTAAACAAAATACAAATGCAGAATGTAGAAGCATATTTTGTTTGTATTTATTTATTTTTGCATGTAGTGCTACATCGTTGATTGCGTTTCTTGTTATGATACAATAATGATATGTCGTTTTGGATGTTTTATGACAGATTAAGAATGTAGGCTTTCAAGAACTGGGATCAGCCATTAGTTGCATCTCTTCTACCAGTCAGTCACGCTCGCTACAGACACCACTGTTATTTGAATAAATGTGTTCAAAAGCAATCTTTTTTTAGAGGGTAGTTATATGACAGACAGGTGCGTTTCTCATCAATATCAATTTTAAATGGATAGCACACCCGCCATGAGAGTGTAAGAGATGCTGTGAGTGATATGACTGGGTGTGGTTATATTTGTGATTCGATTTTCAAGGCTTTTATTAACTTAGCTCGGGTTAAGGTGTGGCCCTTCTGTAAAGCATGAATTTCTTTATTTAATATCCATTTGCATCACAGACTAAATGAGGAAATTGCTCTCGACAGTCTGTCGAAATAAGACAGGTCCCTGTTTTGTTAAACCATGAGAAACTGTAATTGCCCTATATTGAAACTGGCCAACACGCACACCATCCTGCAAATGCAAAATTATGTTTAACTGAGCGCTATGCTAAACCTTTCGTAGAAATTCACTTTTGTGCAGTTTGTGCCAAAGGAAAGTCTAGTTAATAGTGCGATTTGCCTGCTATGAACAAACACGCATTACCTCATTGAGTTCTGACATTTTTTGCTATGAATCACTTTATAAATTCCACATTTTTTTCTCTCTCTCCCCTATCATCTTTGATTTTGGTAACTGATTAAAATGTGTATCCCTAAGCCACATCAGTGACATAAGTGCACAGATTTTATTCATTAAACATCATCAACAAAGGCCGGCGCCGACATAGTCACCAATATTAGAACCTCATTGCTGTTCATGGATTGAGCTGGAACAGCAGAACTGTTTCTAGGGCATTCCGTCTCTGATTTTCAAAAATCAAAGAACAATCGAAAAGCTTTTATAGAGAGCAGAATAGGCTCCATTGGCTCAAAAATTTGTTTTTAGTATGTGAGCAGTCAGAACCACACATTGAGCAAGCTACTTGAGTAATGGCGAATCTCTAACATTGGTCTTCTCTTTTGCTGGGTTCCAGATATGGTGCGGAAAAAGAATCCCCCTTTGAGAAGCTTCGGCGGTGAAGAAGAGGAGGGCGAGCCGGTGGCGGCCGAGGCCACAGGCCCAGAGAGCGGGAACGCGGGGAGCCAGGCTTCAGAGCCCGACAGGGCTGTGGGCGAAGAACTGGAGGAACCGTCCTCCCCTGGCCCCATCAAACCAGACAAGCCTGACTTGCATAACTCCAGCCACAACCTGGCAGCATCCTACTCTAGCCGCGAGTGCACTGATACAGAACCGGTGGACTCTACCGCCTCCCCAACGAACTCTGATCCAGGTGAGAGAGGAGACTGTGAGGATGACCAGAACAGTCTAAAACCCACCACCCGGTCAGGTGGTGTCATCGTACAGGGCTGCACCAGTAATGGAGAGGAGAGGGACGCCACACACAGCCCCCTAGCGTTGCTGGGCTCTGACAGCCTTCGTTGTTTGGCTATCGAAGGCTCTATAGTCCCTCCGGTTACACTTCATCCACAGAGGCCCATTGGGGGAGTGGAGGACACCCCTAGCCCTCTGGGAGCTGAGACGGGAGCACCTCCACCCATCTCACCCAAACTACAAGACTTCAAGTGCAACATTTGTGGGTACGGTTACTACGGCAACGACCCCACGGACCTGATCAAACACTTTCGTAAGTACCATTTGGGTCTGCACAACCGGACACGGCAGGATGCGGAGCTGGACAATAAGATTCTGGCACTACATAACATGGTGCAGTTCACAGCCCAAACACAGGCCAAAGACTCAGCGCACCTCCTCAGCCAGTCAGTTCAGAGCGGCTCTGCGGCGGAAGCAGGGTCACCCAGGTCCTCCGTACTTAATGGCACCTATGACGTACAGGTAATCACAAAGCAGATGAAAGGAGAGAAATGTTGTTTCTAGATATACATATTCATTCAATACTATAGTAAATAATAAAAATACTAATAAATATAAAAAATACATTAAAAAACAGAATAGTGAAACAAACTAAAATATTAAAGTTTTTTTAAACTACTGAAAATAGAAACGGAAAATTTGAAGTACTGCTCAAATCTTTGGGGTCGGATTTTTGTTCTGTACAGCAAAGTGAGTAAAGAGACATTTATAATGTTAAAACAATGTTAAAGTTTTGTATTTCAAATAAATGATGTTCTTTTGAGAGTTCTATTCATCGGAAAAAATCCTAAAAAAAACACAGTTTTCACAAAAGTACTAAGCAGCACAACCGTTTTCAACATTGATAATAAAAATAAATGTTTCTTGAGCACCAAATCAGCATATTAGAATGAATTCTAAAGAATCACGTAAAAAAAAACACAGTTTTCACAAAAGTACTAAGCAGCACAACCGTTTTCAACATTGATAATACAAATAAATGTTTCTTGAGCACCAAATCAGCATATTAGAATGAATTCTAAAGAATCACGTGACACTGATGACTGGAGTGATGATGCTGAAAATTCAGCTATAAATTTATTCAGTAATAAATTACATTTTAAATATATATTAAAACAGAAAAAATATTATAAAAATGATACATATTTCAAAATATTAATGTTTTACTGTATTTTTGTTAAAGTAAATGTAGCCTTGGTGAGCATAAAATACTTTTTTCAAAAACATTAAATAGTCTTACCAACATGTGTATTTATGCATATTAGAGTTTTGCTTCATTCCTCTCATCACCTGTATTGAAAACAAATTAAGTCTCCTTTCTGCTTTGCCTGTGAAATGCTATTTAATGATGCATGTAGTTGCTTCCTATGTAGAGTGTTCCAAATCAGTGACTTGTGTGGGCCCATTTCAGTTAAGATGCGGCCTTAGAAGGCAGCTGCCTATGTAAGAAGCAAGACGGCCTTATAGTTTTGGAGCAGTGCTGTAGTCAGACCCATGGGTCATTAAGGCTTAAAAATGATGCATGCACATGCAACTGTGAAACTTAAAATTTGTCACCGATGTAAAACCACTAGAGGGATGGTAACCGTACATGATGCATGCAAAGTCATGCACACGCAGAAACTCACACGCTGATGAACATTGGCTGCATTAATTCCAAAATTTTGACTAGCCCTCATAGAGTCTGTGTTTGTTTGTGTGTGCTATAAAATAACGTCATGAATAAGCAATCAAGCTGCTCCGTTCAAATTGAAATGCAAAAATCATTTGTAGGGGTGCTCCGATCAGGATTTTTGAGGCAGATCACCGATCGCCGATCACAGAAAGCAGTATCTGCCGATACCGATCGCAGATACTGATCTTTTTAAAGCCTTCTTTTTATCGTAACTATTTATAGTGATACTCCAATCAGGATTTTTAGACATTTATTCAGGGCCTGAATTTCATTTTTGAAAATGGGGGGAATTCCCCTCTTAGGTGACTGTTGTGAGAGGGGAAGCAGCTTTCACACAGGAGTCCACTACTGATCCGTGGCTGTTTACCACAAACACAACATTTATCCATTATTTGGATTTCAAATCCAAAAATTGTCACTGAAATTGCTTTTTCAGCATCGCAATAATTTTTTTTACACAGTACAGTAATACACTCTTTCACAGACATGTTTAAGCACGATAAATATAAGACTGTTAGTTTAATTCAACGCTTGCAGCGCAGCAAAAATAGACTCAGTGCGGAAACGATCGCTGCACTGCTGCAGTCGCACCGCTCATGAACGCACTGTAGGGCCGCAACAGTGTACAGTGAACGCTTTAATCCGTTAACATGAGCGCGGAAAAAATACGCACCACATACTCACTGCAAACGGAGTAATGTGAACCTGGCATTATGTGTGTGTGCGCTGCGAGTGTGCATGAGCGCTCAGTCTCCAGGAGAGCGCGCGAGCACTGAATGGTTAAACACTGGCTGTGAACCTGGCATTATGTGTGTGCTCTGCGAGTGTGCATAAGTGTACGGTCTCCAGGAGAGCGCGAGAGCGCAGAATGGTTAAACACTGGCAAGAATTAAAAAGAAATGCAATTTATAAACTTTAGTGGCGATGTGACACTGCCTCGACTGTGCAAGTGACAATTCCTGTGTCAACTGTGCAGCGTGCAGCTCGCTTATAGACAGAC